AAAAAAATTGAAAAAATGACATTGGGTAATGGTTATGTCATTGATTTGATTACGAGGATAATTCTTTCAATCTCGACCGTCTAATGTGTGATGATGTTAATTATTAAATGAAGATGATTATCATGTATGTTAGGAATCCAGGTGGCAAAAGATTTAACAATAGGTGTCATTCCCAACACACAAGAAAAAAAGAAAAGAAAATAAATAAATAAATATGGTTTCTATTTTGATCCAATGCTTTTTTAGGATTTTTAATTTGTCGGGGCCCCAATTACATTAACATTAACCTTATCTTCAACTTCTAATCACTGCTCCTGGCCCATAACCTTTATGTCACTTTCTCTCATTTTATAATTTCAATTCTTTTCTTTTATTTACAGTCACCCAAAAGAGTTTTATAGAGTCAAGCACCATACTTTATATTTACGGCTCCTACCTTTTTTTATTTTATTATATTGCGAATTTAACTAATTTTTAATGGTATTTTCTTTTGACAAATCTTTGATAGGATGACAGAACAGTTTTTTTTTTTTTCCTTAAAAAAACATGATGAATGACTTGACTTGAATGTCTTTTTATCTCTCAAAAAAACTATTATACGGATAAAGAAAATAGAATGTTATAACACTTTCTCTAATTTTCTTGTTAACCAAACACTGTGTAGCCACTTCAAACTAAAAAAAAAAGAAAAAAAAAAGAAGGAAGAATCAACAAAGATCCTCATGAATTAATCACTTGGTTGTCATCAAATGACAAGATCTTAAGTTATTCAGAGGTTTTGTATTCGAGTTCCATTAAGTGATCTTAACTAATTCTCGACGTACATTGAACACCCTATAAACTCGATTGACCGAGTTTATTAAACATCCTACAAACTCAATTATCCAAGTAAGTCACAAATATGGTAGGTAACCACTTAATGAGACTCAAATACAAAACCTCCTGATAATTTAAGATCTTGTCATTTGGCGACAACCAAGTAGTTAATTCATGAGGATCTTCGTTGAATCCTTTTTTTTTTTTTTCCTAGTTTGAAGTGGCTACATAGTGTTTCGTTGATAAGAAAATTAGAGAAAGTGTTATAACATTCTATTTTCTTTATTTGTATAATAGTTTTTTTGAGAGATAAAAAGACATTTAAGTCAAGTCATTCATCATGTTTTTTTAAGAAAAAAAAACAGTTCTGTCATCCTATCAAAGATTTGTCAAAAGAAAATACCATTAAAAATTAGTTAAATTCGCAATATAATAAAATAAAAAAAGGTAGGAGCCGTAAATATAAAGTATGATGCTTGACTCTATAGGTTTGTAGGGTGTTTAAAGGATCTTAAACACCTCGATCACCCAAAAAAAAAAAAAATTTTCTCATGAATTCTCAAGTTATTATAAATGCATTAGATTATCTATATTAGTTGATAAAATTTTGTTAAATTACATGAAAATTAATCAAACATATTGAAAGTAAAATAATAAAAAAAGGCCAACAAATAATGTTGTAGATTTATTTGATTTTCGATTTTTCTTGTGGTTATGTGGTTAATCATTTAATATATACACATGGGTGTGTTAATTATTATTAATTAAACCTGATTGGTGCTAGTCACGTAATCTTAACAACTCCACAATTATTTTATGTTTTCTCGAACAAATAATACTTTTTATTAATATAAATAATGTGATTGTGAGCATCTTTACATAGTTGAATATTAAGTATTAACAAAACAAATGACCGTATCCCATATTTTAATATAATCTATTTATTATTTTGGATACATCTTAGACCAGGAATCTTTGCACGACGTATACAAAGGGTATTTCGGTAATTTACATATCCGCTTTTGTCTTAGCTTTCAGTGTAAAATTTTATTTTACTAAAAAAATAATATATTTAAAAAGACATGATTATAAATTAAAATATAGATTATACCTTAAAAATATAGATTTTAGAAATTGGTCATTTCTTCAGTATAATGTCTTTATAGGAATTTTTTTTTTAAATGAATTTTTGTTAAATTATCTTAACAATTTTTAAAATTGATTTATAAGTTTCATTAAAAATTTCAAAAAGAGTGATGCCACATAATCAAAAAACTGTTGTCGCTTCAAATATTGACATATTTTGGGTACCAGAAATGAATAATTTAATCTTATCCATTATTATTATTAAAATCACATGTTGAAAATAAATTATTCATGATAACTAACGTTTTTTATTTTAAAATCTTGGTACTAATTTCAATTTATATAAGATTGAAATAAAAATATGATTCAACCTGGTCACGAGTCAACTATTTATTGTGTAACCCAGTTTTATACGAGGGGGTGTCACTACATGATTATTAATTGGTCCAATTAGATGACACAATGATAGAGGAAATGGTTGGCATGGGGAGCATTATGATTGTACAAATAAATGAACCAACTTTAAGAGACCAAGTAACCCCCTTTAACTTATTCCCTGAACAGGTATGTCCACGTACTTTTCAGAAGTGTCAAATACATCCCCTCATGGTTCTCCTTTTATTTGTTCAAGAATCACTAGTTACCCAGCAAAATATGGGCACCCATCAATTTGTTTATTAATATTTCTGTTTCTGTTAGATAAGATGCACATGTGAACAAGAGAGAGAATTAATTAATTAAGATTGTTTGACTAAATTAAATTTGTTTTTATTTTTTAATAATATCCTCTTGTTGGTAAAAGAGGAGGGAGAATTATTTTATTTTTACTTTATTAATTGAATAATATCATTTAGCATATAAGGTTAAAGGAGGATTCTTATTTATATATAATAATAGAATATATTAAAGAGCAATTTGATACCATTTTCATTCACATTGTTTAATGTTTATTAATCTAAATAGACAATCTTAGTTTAAATAAATAAAGAGACTCACAAAAATTTTATATAAAAACGACGTTTCAAAAGATGGTATTTTTAATTTAAAAATACTTCTATACAATATTTTATTTCATAATTTTCTTTGAAATGAAACTTCTTTTAGCATATTTATGATACCATTTTTGTGAAGTTTAGAGGAAAAAATAATCAAATTTTGATAGGGTTTTAGGTAATTTTCACAACAGTAAAGTAGGTTTGCTCGATTTTCAAACAAGTAGATATTTATATCAATTCACAATTTTTTCCTGCTTTGCGTTATTCACATTATTTTAATTGGTTTGACAATATTAAATATAAATTGGTAAACATTTTTTTAGTTGTCCTCCACAGTATGATCTGAATATAATTAACCCACATGGTTTTAAAAATATAGTTTTTTTATTGTATTGTAAATTTTATGGAGGTTTTTGAAAGAAATTGAAAAGATTTAAGGATGTTTTTGATAAGTTTCTGAAATTGTATGAGGGTTTTCTCATAATTCTCAAGCCATAAGAATTAATTGTCTCTATCTAAATAGTTGTGATGGGAGTTACCAAAAAAATGAGACAATATTGTTAAGTTCCATAAGCTTTTTAGTGGGTTGATAATATCAAAGACAAACGTCTTAAATTTGAATCCCTACTTCTAAACTGAAATTGAAAAAAAAAAAAAAAATTCAAGTTTGATGTGAGGGGAACCTATGGGTCTAATATACGATGAACCCCCCTCACCCACTTGCTTATTCTCAATACCATTTGCCATCCATCAAACCCGAAAGTACCCTAAAAAAAAGAAAATTTTCCTTCTTCCTTAGCCATTCCGAGTAGATATAACCATTTGTCAACGAAAGTTAGGAGTCTGGACATTGATAAATATCTAGAAAGACATTTACAGAGACGGTCTGATTCTCTCTCAGTTTGAAGAAAGGAGAGATCCAAAAGAATCAATCTTTCTTTTAGTTGTTGAATCTCTCTTTGATTGATCAATGTGTGATTGCCTTACGAATTCGTAATAGAGCTTTCTAGACATTTGTAATTTGTTTGAAAAATCAAAATCCAAGATATCAAAATATACTACTTAATACCTTCAATTAGAGTAAGATAGAGCGGATGAGCCTCTAGTAACCTAATATATTTTATTAGAGTAGGATATACTATATATGCAAATCCTGAACACATGTATTAACACAGACACGATAAACATATATATATATATTTTAAGAGTCTTAACATAAATAAGTCGAATTCACACTAAAACGTGGCTAGATTTACTGTTCAAACATCACCAAACAAATGTCATAGTACACTAACCAAATAATATGAACTTAAATAAAATAAGTAGAATACTACTAGGAGTAATAAATTGTAACATATTTGAATTAAGGGAGTTGCTATTCTTACAAAGAAGCCTACAAAGGAGGCATACAAAGTTAATCTCCACCCTTCATCTTCATCATTTCTCTCTCTCTCTCTTTCTCTTTTTCCGTTTTTCTTTTGTTTTTTTCTTCACTTTGTAAGCTACTTTGTAAAATTCTTTGTAAGGATAGATTTATCCTTGAATTAATTACTCAAACATACTCTCATTCGCCTGTTTACACATAAATTGAACCTTACACCAAAAATGTATCTAAATCCACTATTCTAAGCACTCTCATTCCCTTTTTACACATAAATTAAGTCTACAAAAAAATTGAAACATTCTCTAGATTGTTTGTTTATATTATCGAATCAGTAACATATCGACACCTTATCACCAAATATTATTAGAATAGTTGAAATGAGTAAAATATTCAAATAACATTAAGTCATAATATAAATCGAACGTCCACCAAAATTTACCATTTAAACATTCTCTTGTTTGCTTATTTACATTATCGGACGAGTAACATAGCAAACCCTAACCTTAATCGTGTAAGCAAATGACAGGAACTTAATCAAAGAGAAGTAGAATATTAAGTTGTAACGTGAATTGAGAAAGGGTGAAAGAGAAGATGACATGCAGCCGCATTTGTTATATAGCTTTTGTTGAGCCTCCTCATCATCCAATTATACAATTCAACAAAAAACATCGCTATTTTATTTATATATCTATATAAATTTCTTTACTTTTTCTCTTTCTATAAAAAAAATCTCTCTTTCTCTTTCTTCCTCTCTTTCTATCTCTTAAACAACATTGAACAAGTCCTCCTCGAATCTCCTTTCACCACTGCTTCGGGTCCTGAAAAACAAAACCCCACCTTCCCACAGGACCCATCAAGCGCCATTAACGTCGCACAATTGCTTACAATTATTTTCTCAATTTATTTATTTTATTTTTTTCTTTTTCAACCAACAACAATAACAACACCACCAACGTCATGGATTCTCTTATCGCTTCAGAATTTCAACTCTGCTTTTTTTGGTATCTGTTGTTGTTCGTTATATTATTCTTTTCTTCTTTCAATTTCATTCTTTTTTTTTTCTCTCTTTTACATCGCCTATTTTTTCTTTTTGTCATGTGGGTTTGTTTTGTTTTCTGATTAGTGTTGTTTTTTTTAATGTTTTGTTGATGGGTTCTTAATCTTATGTCTGCTTTGCAGGTTTTGATGAAAAAGCTTGGATTTTGAGGTATGTGGTAGCCTGAGTTGTTGTCATTATCAGCAACTATGTCTATGGATTCTTCTTCTTTTGAGGGTACTCCACTTATTTTATTTTTTTATTTTTTTGGTATGTGTGTTTATGGTTAAAATTCATGGGTTTGGTTGCATGATGAATTTTGGGGATATATCTACATTCATGGTTGAATTTTGAGGGAGATATTTCACCAAGGCATTGAATCTTGTGTATGATTTGGTTTGTGATAGGTAAATCTTGATCTTGATGGATTTGTAATTTGCATAAGAGTTTTTTTTTTTTTTTTTTTTAATTTTTTTGTTTGTTTTTTGTTTTTTGAGAATTGATTAGTGTTAGTATTTGTGGTTTCTGGAAAAAAAAATTGATTTCAAGTTTTTTCTTTTTGGTTGCTTTAATCTTCATCCAGTGCCTTTTGTTTATGGTTAGATGTTGAGTTTGAGATCACCATGTCCTTTATGGTATTCAACAATTTAAGATGGTGGTTTGTAAAATTATATTTTGGTGGGTCAGTTTCTGTGCTGCTTAGCTGCACTAAATTTGATTTTATAATGCTAGTGATGTCTTCTCCGTATTATGTGGATCCTTGTGGGAAGCGTGGAGGTGGAGCTGTATAATAGTCAAATGCAGTTGTGTTACTCCCATTAATCAAGACATGTACATTAGGCTGCTTTACCTACTTTAATTGGGGCAACCTGTGAAATTTCTACATTATTTGATGTGGTTGAGATGTCTTTGTTAGTGCAAGTCAACCATTAGTTTTTAAGTTTTGCAGGGTTTGTAGTTGGATTTAGTTTTATTGGCTATTTTTTTTAATATGATGAATAGATAATTTGGCTGGAGTTTTTCAAATAAGTCTTACAAGTGGTTGTTATTGAAGATGATTTGACTGTAGTTTGGATTCCATGTCAGTTGGTTAACTGTCCTCACTTGTGATATCATTAAGTTTCTGGTTTATCCCTGTTGACATGTTAAATACATGGGGTGATGGGCATCATCTTAATTGGATAGAGATAGAGACAGTGATGCTATTAATTCTAAGTTTTTGAGGATTTTTATGCCAACGTTAATTGTATTTCAGCATTACATTGTTTGTCAACGGCACATGATGCCTTTTCTTCTTTTCCCTTTTCTTTTTCCTTTTTCTTCAAATTCTTTTGGGATTTGTGATGAGTTAGTAAACTTTTCCCTTTCCTTGGCTTTAGGAGTTGGAGTTGATCCATCAAAATGCAGTAAGATGAGTATGGAGGAAAAGAGGGAACTAGTTTATGAATTGGCAAAGCGATCACATGGTGCCTCTCAAATGCTACAGTGGACCCGTCAGGAGATTTTACAGATCCTATGTGTGGAGTTGGGAAAAGAAAGGAAATATACTGGCTTGACTAAGTTGAAAATCATAGAAAACCTTCTGAAAGTTGTTTCTGAAAAGAATTCAGGGGAACGCGAGGTGAATACCGAAGCTGAACCACTGTCTTCTCCTTCCTCCTCGCAGAGAACATCCAAGAGGCAGAGGAAAACTGAAAACCCTTCTCGGCTTCCTGTACCAGTGAATGAACCTGCTATCAACAATGGTGGCAATGACATAGTTAATGCTATATATTGCAAAAACTCGGCTTGCAGGGCTAACTTAAGAGTAGAAGATGCATTTTGCAAGAGGTGTTCATGCTGTATCTGTCATCAATATGATGACAATAAGGATCCTAGCCTGTGGTTAACTTGCAGCTCAGAACCTCCATTTGGAGGGGAGTCATGTGGCATGTCTTGCCATTTGGAGTGTGCCTTGAAAATTGAAAAATCTGGAATCGGAAAAGGTAGATGCTTTCCAGGACTTGACGGGAGCTTTTATTGTGTGTCATGTGGAAAAGTGAATGATTTACTCGGGTAAATGTTTCATACGCTATGATCTTAGTTGTTTATGTTTGCTGCAATTTTTATCCTGGGAAAATATATTGAAGCTATAAGAAAAATTAAGTTTTGTGTAATTATTTTTCTCTCACCCAGTTTGTTTGATGATTGATGTTGAAACTCCAAGAATTACGGTGTTTTAATTTGGCAGAAAGCTTTTAAGATCAGTCAAATCATTAGTAGAATTGTGATATTGTGGAATTTATGTTTAATTGAACGTGCATGTGGCAGGCACTACTAAAGTGTTTGCCATGCTACATTCTCATAAATGTTCTGTTGCCAGTCACTATAGTCTGAGTTTGTTTTCCTTTTTTGTCCAAAGTTACTTTTTCACCTTCTTTCTTTAAATGGAAAACCTAGATTTTGCTTTCAATTATTGGATAGTAGTTGAAACGATGGTAAACTCTTTCTGTCGAATTAAATTAATTGTCCCCAATGGTATCTGCTGGATGTCGTACAGTGAAAATGACATTGTTTTAAATATAGTCTCATACTATAGAACTTTTTAAAATTACCATATAAAACATGCTGATTGCCTTTAATGATACTTCTCTTTTCTGCAAACTCAACAATCTCAAAGTTAGTGTCATTGCGATTGGTGTCTTAAATTTATTTAGATGCTGGAGAAAACAACTGATGGTGGCTAAGGATACTAGACGGGTAGACATACTGTGTTATCGTGTCTCCTTGGGCCAAAAACTTCTCAATGGGACTGACAAGTACCAAAATCTCTCTAAGATTGTGGATGATGCTGTTGAGATGCTTGAAGCTGAAGTGGGTCCGTTAACTGGTGTACCTGTAAAGATGGGTAGGGGTATTGTCAACAGGCTTTCTTCAGGACCAGAAATTCAGAAACTCTGTGCTTTTGCTTTGCAGTCATTGGAGGAAACGATTTCCAGCACCATCTTGCCCAGTCCTGCAATAAAAGGTAATTTTTGGTTGTGTTGTATACTCTTCCCAACATCATCATCAATGGTTTTACTCTGAGCCCAGATAAAGGGATTCTGAATGACAAACAGATGACAGGTATACGAAATTTTAAGCTTTGCTTAAATTTTTTTAATAATCATTTTAAAAAAAATAGAGTTTTCGGTTATCTCATCTCCGTGTCATACACATAGCCTGCTTAACCTTGGAATGATGGAGAACCCGTGAGTTGTTGCCAATAAAACATTGTAGATTAGTCATCATTATTAGTTTTTCAGCACGTTGATGTCGCAAAACCTTTCATCATTTTTTTCAGATTCAAATTTGATTGTTCCCAACATGGTTAGAGTGGAAGATGTTTGTGCAACATCTCTTACTGTGGTATTGGGTTCAGAAGATCCTTCACCTGGGACTGATATTTCTTACAGCTTATGGCATCGTAAAGCTCATGAAGACTATCCAGTTAGACCTACTTGTACGTTGTTTGCACGAAATCCGAGGTTCGTTGTCACAGGACTTACTCCAGCTACAGAGTATCAGTTCAAAGTTGTTTCCTTAGTTGGTACGACAGAGTTGGGTAAATGTGAAGTTTGGTTCTCAACCGGAAGTATTAGGGAAGATGTAACAAACTGCTCTATAATGGAAAGAAGTCACAGCCCAGCGACAAACTGTAGCAGCCTTTCTAATCCATCATCTGTAGAAGATGAAAGCAATAACATCACTCCAGACAGGGACCAAAATGATGATCGAGTGAACGATTACTTTAATTACTGCAAGGACACTGATAAAGTTGCTTCTGCTAATTTGTCTGATGATGCTGTTGACTGTGCCATTGTGGTTGAAGGAGCAACCCCAGCAGATGCAATTTCTCTGTTGGAAGAAGAGCGTGCCATCAACATAGATGGCTCTGTGCCTGATTCTGATGTCCGAAAGCTTGAGAACAAGCACCCACCAGAGGGCCAATTCACTGAGGAGATGAGCACTGATAATGGGTTAGATAATCGAGTGCCAGCTGGCATGGAATGTGTGCCGTATGTAGGTACCTCAGAAGCTAGCTTGCCGATTACTCCCTGCAAGATAGAAATACTTAAGGATGGACAGGGAAGGAATGCGCGGTCCAAATCAAGCAACAAGGATCTGGAAAATGGGATTGGGAAAGGAGATGAGCCCCGAGATAACAGCACATCAAAGAAGAGGAGTGCTGAAAGGCGGGACGAGGAATGTACTGCGAATGGTGCTTCAGATTTTGAGCACTGTGTGAAGGTGATCAGATGTTTAGAGTGTGAGGGACATATAGAAAGGAACTTTAGGCAGAAATTCTTGACTTGGTACAGCTTGAGAGCAACCTCACAGGAGGTAAGGATTGTAAAAGTGTTTATTGATACCTTTGTCGAAGACCCGGCATCTCTCGCAGAGCAACTTGTGGATACCTTTTCAGATTGCATCTCAAGCAAGAGAGCATCAGTCGTGCCTGCTGGGTTCTGCATGAAGCTTTGGCATTGATTATCTTTATCTGATCAAATGCCCATTTAGGGTGCTCAGAGCATAATTCTTTAGACCCTTTTAACATTGACAATCATCATCATCATTTAAATTTATCACTAGCATTTGCCATTCTTACGATGATGTAAGAACGTTAGAATCTATTTCTTCTATAATACAGTTCTCTCCTATTCATTTATATCTTCCAATTTAACTATTGGATCACTGACTGTTTCTGGCTAGGGAAAAACTCGTTAGTTCTTGGATTGAAAACAATTTTATGCTTAGTTGTACATCAGGCTGAAAGTAGAGGATTATTGTTGTTTATTTCTCATCAAATTATGATTGATCAAACAATATTAATCTTTTGAATGTGGATTTTCTTGGACTGGAACTGCTTATGACTGATACAAACGAGTGAAGCAACAAGTTCTTTCTGATTTCATTGTTGTTTGTTTTGAAAGCTTATTTCTTACTCTTGTCTCTTGACATGATTACAACAATACAATATTACAATTGGTCGTTTAAAAAAAAAAAAAAAAAAAAAGTCTTATTCCCTTCTTGGTGATTTTCTCACCTTTTACAGGTTCCATACTACCCCATAAACTGAAAATCTGTCACCCCGATTGCTATGGGAATCTCATCTAGATGACTTGTACCTGTATGAACAGCCTCGGTAAATTGTGATAAGAACCAAAACGATTTTGAGCAGCTTATTTTAATCATGTCTTCCTTTGATAACAGTCAATATGATTTTTTTTATTTTATTTTTTTAATGTTCTTCTTCTGTATGAAATTGAGTAGCTTTTGTTAATCCTATATTTCCTTTAAATAAGAGTCCATACGATTTTTATAAGGTTCTTCTTCTTAATAAAATTCAAGGGGATATTGAAAAACCATGTCCTCATCCATCGGATCAATCGAAAGACAAAATAAGTATACACTTTCTTTATCCGAGTCAAAAAGATTAATTAAAATATTGTTTTAATCCTAAATGTTTCAAATCATATTGAATACCATTAAAAAAAAACTGGTGTTATTTGGCGTTACAGATGTGACGTTTTATATTATAAAGTTACTACTTTTATAATATTATTCGGATTAAACCTTAATTGAGGCAAGGGTTTGGCAGTTAAAAAAAAAACTGCTAATCTGATGAGCAAATTGTTCTTCAAACCCAAATTTGATCCTCCAATTCTTACTTTGCTTCAAAAATGTACAAATATGAACGAACTGAAACAAATCCATGCACAGACTATCACAACTGGGCTCTCTCGTTTCACCTTCGTAACCAGCAAAATCTTAGCTTTTTGTGCACTATCACCACATGCTAATGATTTACACTATGCACAGACCCTTTTCAATCATATTTCAACACCCCATGTCTTTGATTTCAATTCCATGATAAGGGGTTTTTTGCAGAGCCCAAAACCTGAAAAGGGTCTCTCAGTTTACACCAAAATGTTGAGTCTTGGCATTGCACCAAATAATAGAACTTTCACAGTTTTAGTTAAAGCTTGTGTTTATTTATCTTTGCTTGATATGGTTTATGTTCATGTGCTTAAATTGGGACATGTTTGTGATGCTTTTGTTACCAGTTCTGTAATAAGTATGTATGCTAAGTTTGGATTAATGGATAAAGCTTGTGTTGTGTCTGACGCAAATTTGAATAAGAATGTGGCTTGTTGGACAAGTTTGATAAGCGGGTATTGTTGTAATGGTTTTGTTTCTGAAGCGCGCGAGGTGTTTGATTCAATGCCTGACAGAAATGATGTTGCTTGTAGTGCAATGGTTTCTGGGTATGTCAAAAACCATTGTTTCAATGAGGCAATTGGGTTGTTTCAGGAGTTGAAGAGTTTTGATAATGCGAAGCTTAACGCGTCTCTTTTGGTTAGTGTTCTTAATGCTTGTGCAGTTGTAGGTGCATTTGGAGAAGGGAAATGGGTCCATGATTATGTAGATAAAAATGGTTTCGAGTATGATCTTGAGTTGGGTACTGCGTTGATTGACTTCTATGCAAAGTGTGGGTGCATTGAAAATGCGTGCGAAATATATAATAAGATGGCGTATAGAGATGTAGCGACTTGGAGTGCGATGATATCGGGGTTGGCTATGAATGGGAGGAATGATACAGGACTTGAACTTTTCGTTGAAATGGAAAAGAGTGGACCTAAACCGAATGCTGTGACTTTTGTTGGTGTTCTTACTGCTTGTAATCATAGAACATTGGTGAATGAAGCATGGCGCTTATTTGGTCGGATGGGTAAAGTTTATGGAATCAATCCGATTATTGAGCATTATGGATGCATGGTTGATCTCTTGGCTCGAGCGGGACTACTTAAGGAGGCCGAGATTTTGATAAAGAGTATGCCAATGGAACCTGATGGAGCTATATGGGGATCACTGCTAAATGGGTGTCTAATGCATGGTCATATTGAGTTAGGTGAGAGGGTGGGAAGGCTTGTGATTGAGTTAGAGCCACAACACAGTGGAAGGTATGTCCTTCTGTCCAACATCTATGCCTCTATGGGCTTCTGGGAAGATGTGGTAAGACTTAGGAAACTGATGAAAGATAGGGAAGTAGTAACAGTTTCTGCTTGGAGCTTCATTGAGATTGATGGGGTTGTTCATAAGTTTCTAGTCGATGATAAATCTCATTCTCATCAGACATGCATCTACAGCATATTGAATTTACTCAGAGAGGAACTTGAAGGTTTCTCTACTGCAAATGATATACCATTAAGTTGAGAGAAACACTCTCATTTTGCAATGCCTTTACACAACATCAAAATTGTTCTCTTCAAAAAATTTGAAATCTGACAAACAAGGAACAATTGAATATTATAGTGCCGCTTGTAGCATAGCTGGTTGATAAAGTGCTATATATAGTGTCTTCGTTTACAATGACCTTGTTGGATGGATGCTCTTGATTCTATTGGGCCAGCAGAATCTTGCCAAAGGGTTAAAATAATTTTGGTCAGAGATTCTCAGTATTCAAAGTTACTGTGGTTTTCCACTTGATACCATCTGTAGACTGCAAAATTCAACTTGGCATTTGAAGGTTGAAAAAGACATTTTTTACTTGGCATGCAAAGGAGGCTGGGGAAACACCTACCCATGTCCACATCCAGCCATATTCAAGCACTCTGAAAGCCAAAAGAGACTAAAGAGACGTCCCTTGTATTCAATTTCAACCATTTTAATAATGTCCGCAACCAGGTAAGCGTCACTTCTCTGTTGGCACCATTTGTTGGTGGGTCCTATCTTTTTTTTCCCTGTTTGCTAAACATTTTCTAATTAAGAAGAATATTTTCGATACAACATATACACATGCTTTGGACCAATGAAGAAATGTTCCATAGCATGTATCTTGATGTAGCGCGTTCTCATTCGCTGGATATATGCACATAGAGTAATATTTTTTCCCCTTAAGAGGAGAAGAAAGTAAAAAGCAGAAGATGGTGATGAAACCAAAGCGAAAGAGCTTTAGTAAACACTCCACTGCATTGTACAATTTGTCTTTTAAGTAATGCTTCTGATCTCTTCCTTAACAAAGCATACATCACTTCACAAACATCTAAGCCAACCTCTTTTGTCTTTTATCTTGAACCGTTTCATTGCCTTCAAAACTAAAACATTACTCACTTCTGCTGCCACACTCTTTTGTGTTCTCTCTCTCTCTCTCTTTTTATCATCAATCTTGTTCTTGAAACACACTGTGAAGAAGAAGATGTCTACCAGCTTCTTATCATCTCCAGTTGCTGCATCTGTCTATGTTGGCCTCAAACCCAGCTCAAATACTTTGTTTCCAGTTATGGAGTCTGTTGCATGGAGGAGGAAAAACCTCTCAAATGGTTCAAAAACCATTGCATGAAGGTAAAGTGACTTGATGGTTATAATTTTATGACTACTCAAGGTTTCATATTTTATCACTTTCATCACTGATCTATTCTCTCTTTTCTGGTTCTTGTGTGAATGTGTGGTGTCTGTGCATTGTTTAATAGACATGGAATCCAATCAATAACAAAAAGTTTGAGGCCCTCTCCTACTCCCTCCTCTTTCAGATGACTCCATTGCAAAGGAGATTGATTACATGATAAAAAGGAATGGATCCCTTGCCTTGATTTGATGAGTAAGCCGAACAAAACCATTGCTACCATCATGTTATAATAATTCTTTTTTTAAACAATCTAGAAATCTTAACATCTTTGTGTAGCCAAGTTCGATTAACCCTCTTTTAGTTTTGGTCCTATTGTTATCCCACGTGGGGACTTGAATTCAGACCTGAGGGAACTCAAACCCAAACCTTGTGGGAGTAAACATGGGTCATCATTTCTCTACATGCATTCGATAATATGAAATTCCACAGAGCACATTGTTAAATATCGAGTCAATAATATTATCAAACCATGAAATCGGCCTAAAATATTTTTTGTTTTCTTGTTATACTTTTGTTAGTGGGACATGTCGCAGGGAGTAGTAGGATGCCAGGGTATTATGATGGGAGGTATTGGACTCTGTGGAAATTGCCAAGTTTTGGATGCAATGATTCCTCTCAAGTTCTGAATGAAATCCATGAGTGCAAGAAGGCGTACCCAGATGCTTACTTCGTTGCTTGGCATTTGCCAATCAGAAACAGGCTCAGTGCATGGCCTTTGTCTTCAGAAACCCCCAACTGAAACTTCTTTTTGTAGAGGTTGGAGGAAGAAGTTCGCTGTTTTCTATAATACAATAAGTTGAATGGTTGATTGTTTGTTGGAGAAACTTTTGGTTTAAATAATCAATCAATCAAATAATGTGCCTGTACTTGTTTTGAGAACACAGTTTTTAAGTTGCTTTTCTGTGGCAACTTTTGGGAATACCAGAGGTTTTTCATTTGGCCATCAGATTGTAATTTTGTGTTCTGAGCTAGCACTCAATTGGTTTTTTTTTTTCAACACGATGCTTCTTTCAATTATCATATTTTACAAGGCGGGGAAGCCCAAGTGATCTCATGTAGTTAATATCTAAATATAAATGAAGTTTAATCAAATTCTTTATTCCGTCCTCAATAATACACCAAATTTTGATTAAATGACCGACAATCCATGGCCTGGCCGGTTGAAATGGCTCCACCGCCAGGCTTGGTTCCAATTTTCTATTATCAAACCTACAAATTAGAATGATGATCAGTGAACAATTAGGTTGGAGATTTGGAGTTTTAAAAAGGACCGATAGTGTATAATGATGATAGAAGTGATTTACATGAGTAAATCAATCAAAATCGAAAAACCGTGATGACAAGTTGACTTTTGTTGATGATTGGCAGACAAACGGGATAGGGTAAGATGGGTTTCTGGTCAGAGGTTGAGGGAAGTATTTTCATGGTGATAGAGAGGGTTGTTGATGCCGGGAGTGTTGAGATCTTATCAAAATTGAAACCAATTACGATTAGATCTTGGGTGATTTTCTAGGTATTAACTCAAGGGATGATTAGATTGTATTTGTATGTCATTGCCACCAGCCGCACCTAGTTAACTATCGATTTGTATTTAAAATGTTTGCTAAATTTCAACCCTTAAGGACTTAACTTGATTTTAAGGATATATTTGCTAAATTTTAAACTTTTGACACCGGTTTAACTACCCCTCAAACCGGTTAAACCAATCACTCGAGATCTAGCACCTTGCCAGATTTCACCCTAGGTTGATTTTAAAACATTGCTACTCCATCTAAAGTATATTTAATCAGCCATACAAAGATGTTACCACATTTTCCATCACTAGCGAAAAAGCTTGAATCAATTTCGAGTTTAGATCCTTTTCATTTATAACGCGCTTTGGATGAAAAGCGTTTTTTGTGCATTAAAAAAACGAATCAATTTGATTAAACCCAAACTGAAACATTTTTCCTGAAACTAATTCTTGTCTGATATAGTATTTTGCTCCACGTCTTGTCCTCACCTACGGTATTACCAGTATTTGCACTTAAAAACCCACTGGAACAGAATAAATTGGGTCCTGAAGCACTGCAGTTGCAATTTATATTAGATAGTTTCAACCTTGTCTACTAATGTAGAGAATACAACAGGAAATACCGATACCTACTACAGTAGAAGAATTGAGATCCTCCTCTTATGGTTTTCTCTTCCTAAAATAGAGGCAATTGTTTCTGGCAAGATACGCTAAAATGCTTAGTTACAGATTCAAGGCTAGAAATCGCACTTTGCTTAACCATTACAAACAGATGGTCTATGCAACCACACAACAGAGTGGACACTGAAGCTATATCTAAATACAGTCATGCTCACTAAGGATTAGTTAGTAAAATCAGCTGGAACGTACCAGTGCAAAAATGAAGATCAAATAGTAGTCACAATGCCCAATAAGAATACCCAATAAAAATTGCATAAGGCTCATTTTTTCTGCTAGATTTTAAGAATCCATGTCCCCACCTTGTACAACTTTTGCGAGAAAACACTGGATCACCTGAATAATAAACAAATTGATAATTAGAATATATGCATTTCAAAAACAAAGTAAACAGAGAACCTGCTTCTTCACTCTCTGATTACAAGCTTTGTTTTAGTAATTTATCAAAGGCAAAATCATATGTGGGACATTTCTTGCACAGCAGCTATTAGCAACAGAAATTAACATAGAATTTGGAGTATATTTTGTCTTTACTTTTAATGTTTTATGAAAAGAAAAAGTAGCAGGTTAACCTCAGCACATGTGCAAAATCATACTCTAGCGGCAGGTTCTTCCATAAGGTTTCCAAGATACATTAACACCAATTAAAGACGAAAACAGCAAACTGCTCAATATACTACGGTTAATATCAACAGTACTTGAAAACTATGGGTAATAAAAATCATTGAATAACGAAAGAAAAGAGAGGAAAAACTAAAATTTAATTCACAAATAATCTGTTTAGAGAATCATGAAGGATAATAGATAACCATGACTCGAAATGGTGAAAAATAAAAGGATCATCAATGTTATTAAGTGGTAAATATATGTAGTATTTTACATGGTGTAATTGAGATTATTGGTTTTTATGTATATACATATATGTATGCATGTCTATCAATGTTCGCAGACTGCAGCGACAATTTACAAAATTGTTGGACATGCCATTTTATTGAACACTTATATGTGACATCCACTTATTACTATATTAACTTTTATAAAATTTCACAGAAGGACAAGACCAAGATGCAATTGCACCGACTCAAAAATTCTCAAACTGACAAAACAAAAACATCCCCTTGTTTAGTTTGTTAGTATTTTCTTTTTCAAAAACAATTTGGCTCCAGTTCTAGCACAATATCCATCTCCCTTAGTTCAGTTCAATTTGGCCTCAAAACCACACGCCAATCCCTATATGCTACCATACATTGTGAACTTCCAATACCTGTTTGACAGTTTTCCTATGAGAAAAAGGAGAAAATGCTCATAATATTTGAAAATGATAGTGATTGAATAATAAATATAGTGACATTGAAAATTATGTCTATACAAAAGTATAGCTACTATTATAAAGGATAACTCATAAATTTTAATTATGACAAATATATAGGATTTCAAGTTCTTTAAGCCCATTAAAAACTTTACATCATTGTCTGCTAAATTTTTTGTTGAGCAACTAAAATACTTAATTAGATTAGAGTAACTCACTCAATTCAATAAAGCCCTAAAATCATCATTATTTTATCATCAACTATATATTTTCCTACTGTCCTCTATAAAGTTCAAGTGAAAAAAACCTGAATAATGCAAAACCCACCTCACATGCTGACCCTATTACCTGGACCTTCATCCTCAACTTGGAGAATCATTAAAAGATGGCGACACAATATGTGGGTAATACTACTAGACAATTTTTAGACAAAAAACAATTACAATAGTAAAAAAAAACAAGACAACTGAATGGATGTCCATGACCAACATGTATACAAAAATTTCATGCAATGTAGAAAACCTAGCAAATGTATTCTAAGCACTGCAAACTTGTACGAAACTCCAACAAAGTTTCAAACTACTCCACAACATAAAAATCCATTTCTCAAAAATCCACAAAGATATTCACAAAGCTTTGACTTACATTCTTTCACGGTTTAAAAAGAGACACAGCGAGGGGAGGGGAACAAATGATTTAAGGAGTGATCAAAGTGTATTAAACAAGCCCAACACAATAATTGTGCAAGACAAATTTATTAAATCCCCCAAATTGTACAGTGCACCTCCAAAATTCTAAAGTTATTTGCCAAAATCAACAGGATTTTGGCCTAAGGAATTAGTAATAGCGAGTAGAAAGGTATTTTAACCAATTCAATTCTGTCTCAGTTCACTTCTGTGCAATTCTATAACCCTATTTTAAGTCAATCAGGTAACTTGTGGCGGAATTTCATGGACTCAATAGGCAGTAATTGATTTATAAATTTAACTAAAGGAGAAGAAAACATAGCTAAAGAGCAAATGTTAACTTGAATATAAAGTACACTTATCACAAGTATCTCTCTCAATCTATAACACCCTACAGGATTATTCATTTATTAATCGTATTCCATAAGTAGGTGAAACAACATTCCTATTTAAATTTTATTATTTGAGACTAAGGGTTACTAAATAGAATTAAAACCCTAAATTCTAGAAAGAAAAAAAAAAAAAAAAAAAACTATAAATCTTTTACTCATCCAAGCTAAATTTGACTTGCTAAGACAAATCAGTGAGAAACCTCCATTGCCAATATCCTCTTTTGGTCAAACTCTAACCAAGTAAAGAAAACTCTTTTGAAGACGAATGGAAATTGCTCTTAACTAAAATAACACCAATTCTCAACAGTTTCCCAGTTCACAAGCATTGCTTATCCAGTATATAAAAGTCACCCTTCTCACACAAACTAGGCAAATCAAAACCGCAGTCATTTGAATCCCTATTTCAGTTTTAATTAAAATTCATAAACAAAAGACCAAAGCAGAAAAAACTACAAACAAGCCCAAACAAACATTCCAATAACTTGAAGCTAAAAGATCCACCAAACCAAAAAGCTATAGCTATTCAAATTGGCGCAAATTCGACCTTCTAACACTAACTAGGCAAAGCAAAACAGAAAAATTTGTGAAAAACACACTCCAAACAATTCAAAACATTCGGTTCAATCTCCTTTATGGTTCAAATTAATAAATAAAAAAACTCAATTCCAATGCTAAATTAACCTCTAAATTAGGGGGAAAATAATACTAAAAAGCCAAACCAAAGAAACTTAAAACTTAAACTCAAAATCTGAGAGATAAACAAAGCTCACCCACCTCCTTTGAGTAATGACCCTTCTATCGATTCCGCTCCATCGGCAATGGCCGATTAAACCCGCCTCTTCTATTCATATACTGCCTCGGCTGGCGCTTCGTCACAGCCCTAACTCCACTCACATCCGCCCCCCGCACCGGCTTCCCTTTAGTCGAATCGAACCCGACTGGAATCCCTAACTTCTTCATCATCTCCATCTCATCTTCATCAACATCATTCATCCCATCACCGCCATTATTACCATTGTTATTATTTTCATCGTCTTTCTTTAGCTGCTGCGCTTTCGCAATTTCGTCCACGAAGTCCGACACCACCTTCTGCTGGTCCTTATCGTCCCGGTGCCGCTTCCGCAGCGGTTCCGGAGAGGGCGTGCGGTGGCGGTGAGACCGGTCGGGGGATCGCTTGTGGCGTGAGCGCGTCCGATCGGGAGTTCGTGAACGCGACCGCTTGCTTCGGATTCTCTCTCTATCCTTGTCTCTGTCTCTGTCTCGCTCACGGTCGCGTTCACGGTCACGGTCTTCTTTATCTCGCCGGCGTTCTCTATCTCTATCTCTGTCTCGGTCGCGGCCGCGGCCGCGGCCGCGGTCACCGTAGTCGCGGTCGCGAGGGCGGTCGCGGTCGCCCATGGAGAGTTTGAATTATATAGAGCGTGACTCTGCGAGTGCGGCAAGTGACGGGTCTATCAGATTGAAACTCGAGAGTTGAGAGACTAAAGCTTTACTCTTGGTTTCACCGGGTTTAGCAGGGATTTACTAAGGGGTTTATAGCTAAATAGGTGGGATGCGGGTTGCAAAAGGAAGAAATAAAATATTAAGGGGGTTATTTAAACTTTTTATGTTACCTTATACATTAGATGATAGCTGGTTTAGAGTGAACAGCTCTTGTTGCCTTCTTCACTTTCCATTAGCCTTCCTCTCCTTGCCTAAGATCTTGAAGACCTAACCAACGTAAAAGGATCATCGACATAGACATTCTGACACTCAAACTAAGGTTTGATGGCTAGACAATAGGAGCAAGGCCTTAATAGTGAGGGTTTGTTGGTTTTGGTGCTTGAGGGCTCAGTCTTAAGTTTAAGGTGCTTTACTAATTGGCAGGCTGTGCATAAATCAAAAGGTTTATTGGTTTTGGTGCTTGAGGGCTTAATCTCAAGTTTACGGTGCTTTACTAATTGGCAGGCTTCACAAAAATGTCACACTGCTGCTGAATTTTGTAGGTTCTCAAAACATTCTTTGGTTAGGATGACCAAATCTTCTATGGATCAAGTTCAAGGCTCCAGAGTCTTGTCCTCACACTGCGGTATACCAGTATATGCACTTAAAAAAACCCACTGGAACAGAATAAATTGGGTCCTTGAAGCACTGCAGTTGCAAGTTTATATAGATAGTTTCAACTTGTCTACTAATGTAGATAGAATACAACAGGAAATACCGATACCTACTACAGTAGAAGAATTGAGATCCTCCTCTTTCATGGTTCTCTTTCCTAAAATAGAGGCAATTGTTCTGGCAAGATACGCTAAAATGCTTAGTTACAGATTCAAGGAGAATCGCACTTTGCTAACCATTACAAACAGATGGTCTATGAAGCACACAACAGGAGTGATCACTGAAGCTATATCTAAATACAGTCATGCTCACTAGAGGTAGTTTAGTAAAACAGCTGAACGTACCAATGCAAAAATGAAAGATCAAATAGTAGTCACCGATGCACAATAAGAAATACCCAATAAAAATGTCATAAGGCTCATTTTTTGCTAGATTTTAGAATCCATGTCCCCACCTTGTACAACTTTGCGAGAAAACACTGGATCACCTGAATATACAACAAAATTGATAATTAGAATATATGCATTTCACGAAACAAAGTAAACAGAGAAAGCCTGCTCGTTCACATCTCTGATTACAAGCTTTGGTTGGAATTTCAAAGGCAAAATTATGTGGGACATTCTTGCACAGCAGCTTAGCAACAGAAATAAACATAGAATTTGGAGTATATTTGTTCTTTATTTAATGTTTTATGAAAAGAAAAAAGTGCAGCACATGTGCAAAATCATACATCTAGGCGCAGGTTTCTTCCAGAAGGTTTCCAAGATACATTACAACAATTAAAGACGAAACAGCACACTGGGGTCTATCACTACGTTAGATATCAAAAGTACATCGAAAACTAAGGTGGGGAATAAAAATCATTGAAAACGAAAGAAAAAGAGGGGGAAAAACTAAATTAAATTCACAAATGAATCTGTTAGAGATCATGAAGGATAATAGATAACCTGACCGAAATGGTGAAAAATAAAAAGGATCATCAATGTTATTAAGTGGTAAAATAATGTAGTATTACATGGTGTAATTGAGATTATGTGCTTTTATGTATATACATATATGTATGCATGTCTATGCACATGTTCGCAGAGCAGCGACCATTACGAAAATGTTGGACACGCCATTTTATCGAACACTTATATGTGATCCATATATATATAACTTTATAAATATTTCGCAGTGGGACAAGACCAGATGCAATTGCACCCACTAAAAAATCTCAAACTGACAAAACAAAAACATCCCCTTGTTTAGTTTGGTTCAGTATTTCTTTTTCAAAAACAATTTGGCTCCAGTTCTAGCACAATATCCATCTCCCTTAGTTCAGTTCAATTTTGGCCTCAAAACACGCCATCCTAATATGCATACTCAACACGTGAAGTGCTGGTGATATAATAAGAAGCGGAGGAAGGAGCAGTAGAAGATTAAATGGAAAAAAGGGCAACTAACGTGTGAAGAGAAGAAAAGTTGAGTGGGCAGGTGGCAAAAGGAGAATGGTGGATAGTTGAATCCTGTTAGGAGGTGGAGTGAATAAAAAGAGCAACAGAAGAAGGAAAAAGCATATCTTAGAGAGATATAGTGAAAGGGGGGAGGTAGCTGGCCCTCGAAGTCCAGCATATCAGTATTTATAAGTTTAGTTGTTTCCTTCTGTTATTTTGATATTTGATAATATAATCAATGTGAATGAGTGTAATTCTTATATTTTCAATGGAGTTATAGATTGTGGTCTTGGTGGTTCCTTGAATTGTGAATGTATTCTGGTAAAAGCTTTTGTTGTGGATTGACTAGGAGAATCTGGGCAGGTTCGCAAACATACCATACATTGTGAACTTCCAATACCTGTTTGACAGTTTTCCTATGAGAAAAAGGAGAAAATGTCATAATATTGAAAATGATAGTGATTGAATAATAAATATAGTGACATTGAAATTATGTCTATACAAAAGTATAGCTACTATTATAAAGGATAACTCATAAATTTTATTATGACAAATATATAGGATTCAAGTTCTTTAAGCCCATTAAAAACTTACATCATTGTCTGCTAAATTTTTTGTTGAGCACTAAAATACTTAATTAGATTAGAGTAACTCATCAATTCAATAAAGCACAAATCATCAATTTTATCATTCAATATATATTTTCCTACTGTCCTCTATAAGTTCAGGTGAAAAAAACCTGAATAATGCAAAACCCACCTCCACTGCGACCCTATACCTGGACCTTCCCCCTCCACTGGAGAACTAAAAGATGGCGACACAATATGTGGGTAATACTACTAGACAATTTTAGACAAAAAACAATTACAATAGTAAAAAAAACAAGACAACTGAATGGAGTCCATGACCAACATGTGATACAAAAATTTCATGCAATGTAGAAAACCTAGCAAATGATTCTAAGCACTGCAAATTGTACGAAACTCAACAAAGTTTCAAACTACTCCACAACATAAAAATCATTCTCAAAAATCCAACAAAAGAGATTGGCTTCTGATCTCTTCCTTAACAAAGCATACATCACTTCACAAACATCTAAGCCAACCTCTTTTGTCTTTTATCTTGAACCGTTTCATTGCCTTCAAAACTAAAACATTACTCACTTCTGCTGCCACACTCTTTTGTGTTCTCTCTCTCTCTCTCTTTTTATCATCAATCTTGTTCTTGAAACACACTGTGAAGAAGAAGATGTCTACCAGCTTCTTATCATCTCCAGTTGCTGCATCTGGCTATGTTGGCCTCAAACCCAGCTCAAATACTTTGTTTCCAGTTATGGAGTCTGTTCCATGGAGGAGGAAAACCATCTCAAATGGTTCAAAAACTCATTGCATGAAGGTAAAGTGACTTGACTGGTTAATAATTTGTGACTACTCAAGGTTTCATATTTGATCACTTTGGTCACTGATCTATTTTCTCTTTTCTGGTTCTTGTGTGAATGTGTGGTGCTGTGCATTGTTTAATAGACATGGAATCCAATCAATAACAAAAAGTTTGAGGCCCTCTCCTACCTCCCTCCTCTTTCAGATGACTCCATTGCAAAGGAGATTGATTACATGATAAAAAAGGAATGGATCCCTTGCCTTGAATTTGATGAGGTAAGCCGAACAAAACCATTGCTACCATCATGTTATAATAATTCTTTTTTTAACAATCTAGAAATCTTAACATCTTTGTGTAGCCAAGTTCGATTAACCCTCTTTTAGTTTTTGGTCCTATTGTTATCCACGTGGGGACTTGAATTCAGACCTGAGGGAACTCAAACCCAAACCTTGTGGGAGTAAACATGGGTCATCATTTCTCTACATGCATTCGATAATATGAAATTCCACAGAGCACATTGTTAAAATATCGAGTCAATAATATTATCAAACCAGTGAAATCGGCCTAAAATATTTTTTGTTTTCTTGTATATACTTTTGTTAGATGGGACATGTGCGCAGGGAGAATAGTAGGATGCCAGGGTATTATGATGGGAGGTATTGGACTCTGTGGAAATTGCCAATGTTTGGATGCAATGATTCCTCTCAAGTTCTGAATGAAATCCATGAGTGCAAGAAGGCGTACCCAGATGCTTACATTCGTTGCTTGGCATTTGACAATCAGAAACAGGCTCAGTGCATGGCCTTTGTCATTCAGAAACCCACCAACTGAAACTTCTTTTTGTAGAGGTTTTGAGGAAGAAGTTCGCTGTTTTCTATAATACAATAAGTTGAATGGTTGATTGTTTGTTGGAGAAACTTTTGGTTTAAATAATCAATCAATCAAAATAATGTGCCTGTACTTGTTTTGAGAACACAGTTTTTAAGTTGCTTTTCTGTGGGCAACTTTTGGGAATACCAGAGGTTTTTCATTTGGCCAATCAGATTGTAATTTTGTGTTCTGAGCTAGCACATCAATTGGTTTTTTTTTTTCAACACGATGCTTCTTTCCAACATTATCAATTATTTTACAAGGCGGTGGAAGCCCAAGTGGGATCTCACATGTAGTTAATATCCTAAATATTATAATGAAAGTTTAATCAAAATATCTTTATTCCGTCCTCAATAATACACCAAATTTTGATTAAATGACCGACTATCCATGGCCTGGCCGGTTGAAATGGTTCAACCCGGACCCAGCTTTCATCTGGTTGGGTTGTCAATTTTCTTATTCATTGAAAACCTTAGAAATTGGGATGATGATCGATGAACAATTGATGGTCGAGATGTTGAGAGTTTTAAAGAGGAAGGACCGATGAATGTAATGGTGATGGCATAAGTGATTTCTAATGAGTGAATCAATCAAAAATCGAAAAAAACTGTGATGATAACAATCGACTTTTGTTGGTGATTGGCGAGGCAAATGGGGGTAGGGTAAGATGGGTTTTAGTCAAGAGATTGAGGAGGGTATTTTCATGATAATGGGGAGGGTTGTGGACGGCGGGAGTGGTGAGATCTGATCAAAATCAAACCCATTGCAATTAGATCTTGGGTAGATTTTCTAGGTATTGACTCAAGGGATGATTAAAATTGTATTTGGTGTATCATTGCCGCCAACTAGTCAACTGTCGATTTGTATTTACGACGCGTTTGCTAAATTTCAAACCTTTAAGAACTTAACTTTAATTTTAGGGATATATTTGCTAAATTTTAAACTTTTGAACATCCGATTTGACTGGCCGTTAAACCGATTAAACCAATCAACTCAAGACCTAGCAACTTGGCCAGGTTTTCACCCCAGGGTGGTTATTAAAACATTGCTACTCCATCTGAAAGTATTATATTAATCAGCCATACAAAGGATGTTACCACATTTTCCATCACTAGCGAAAAAGCTTGAATCAATTTCTGAGTTTAGATCCTTTTCATTTATAGACGCGCTTTGGATGAAAAGCGTTTTTGTGCATTAAAAAAACGAATCAATTTGAATTAAACCCAAACTGAAACATTTTTCCTGAAACTAATTCTTGTCTGATATAGTATTTTGCTCCACAGTCTTGTCCTCACCTACGGTATTACCAGTATTTGCACTTAAAAAACCCACTGGAACAGAATAAATTGGGTCCTTGAAGCACTGCAGTTGCAAGTTTATATTAGATAGTTTCAACCTTGTCTACTAATGTAGATAGAATACAACAGGAAATACCGATACCTACTACAGTAGAAGAATTGAGATCCTCCTCTTTCATGGTTTTCTCTTCCTAAAATAGAGGCAATTGTTCTGGCAAGATACGCTAAAATGCTTAGTTACAGATTCAAGGCTAGAAATCGCACTTTGCTTAACCATTACAAACAGATGGTCTATGAAGCCACACAACAGGAGTGATCACTGAAGCTATATCTAAATACAGTCATGCTCACTAGAGGATTAGTTAGTAAAATCAGCTGGAACGTACCAGTGCAAAAATGAAAGATCAAATAGTAGTCATCAGATGCACAATAAGAAATACCCAATAAAAATGTCATAAGGCTCATTTTTCTGCTAGATTTTAAGAATCCATGTCCCCACCTTGTACAACTTTTGCGAGAAAACACTGGATCACCTGAATATAACAAAAAATTGATAATTAGAATATATGCATTTCACGAAACAAAGTAAACAGAGAAAGCCTGCTTCGTTCACTCTCTGATTACAAGCTTTGTTTTAGTAATTTATCAAAGGCAAAATCATATGTGGGACATTTCTTGCACAGCAGCTATTAGCAACAGAAATTAACATAGAATTTGGAGTATATTTGTTCTTTACTTTTAATGTTTTATGAAAAGAAAAAGTAGGCAGGGTTAAACCTGCAGCACATGTGCAAAATCATACATCTAGCGGCAGGTTCTTCCATAAGGTTTCCAAGATACATTAACACCAATTAAAGACGAAAACAGCAAACTGGCATCAATATCACTACGTTAGATATCAAAAGTACATCGAAAACTAAGTGGGGGAATAAAAATCATTGAATAACGAAAGAAAAAGAGAGGAAAAAACTAAAATTTAAATTCACAAATGAATCTGTTTAGAGAATCATGAAGGATAATAGATAACCATGACTGAAATGGTGAAAAATAAAAAGGATCATCAATGTTATTAAGTGGTAAAATATATGTAGTATTTTACATGGTGTAATTGAGATTATGTGGTTTTTATGTATATACATATATGTATGCATGTCTATGCACATGTTCGCAGACTGCAGCGACAAATTTACGAAATTGTTGGACACGCCATTTTATCGAACACTTATATGTGATATCCACTTATTACTATATTAACTTTTATAAAATATTTCACAGAAGGACAAGACCAAGATGCAATTGCACCGACTCAAAAATTCTCAAACTGACAAAACAAAAACATCCCCTTGTTTAGTTTGGTTAAGTATTTTCTTTTTTCAAAAACAATTTGGCTCCAGTTCTAGCACAATATCCATCTCCCTTAGTTCAGTTCAATTTTGGCCTCAAAACCACGCCCACCTATAGCTACCATACATTGTGAATTCCAATACCTGTTTGACAGTTTTCCTATGAGAAAAAGGAGAAAATGCATAATATTTGAAAATGATAGTGATTGAATAATAAATATAGTGACATTGAAAATTATGTCCATACAAAAGTATAGCTACTATTATAAAGGATAACTCATAAATTTTAATATGACAAAATATATAGGATTTCAAGTTCTTAAGCCCATTAAAAACTTTACATCACTGTCTGCTAAATTTTTGTTAGCAACTAAAATACTTAATTAGATTAGAGTAACTCATCAATCAATAAAGCCCTAAAATCATCATATTTATCATCAACTATATATTTTCCTACTGTCCTCTATAAAGTTCAAGTGAAAAAAACCTGAATAATGCAAAACCCACCTCACCTGCTGAACCTATTACCTGGACCTTCACCTCAACTTGGAGAATCATTAAAGATGGCGACACAATATGTGGGTATATACTACTAGACAATTTTTAGACAAAAAACAATTACAATAGTAAAAAAAAAAAGACAACTGAATGGATGTCCATGACCAACATGTATACAAAATTTCATGCAATGTAGAAAAACCTAGCAAATGTATTCTAAGCACTGCAAACTTGTACGAAACTCCAACAAAGTTTCAAACTACTCCACAAAAAAAATCCATTTCTCAAAAATCCACAAAGATATTCACAAAGCTTTGGCTTCATTCTTTCACAGTTTAAAAAGAGACAGAGCGAGGGGAGGGGAACAAATGATTTAGGAGTGATCAAAGTGTATTAAACAAGCCCAACACAATAATGTCTATGAAAAATTAAAATCCCCAAATGTCCAGTGCACCTCCAAAATTCTAAAGTTATTTGCCAAAATCAACAGGATTTTGGCCTAAGGAATTAGTAATAGCAAGTAGAAAGGTAATTAACCAATTCAATTCTCTCAGTTCACTTCTGTGCAATTCTATAACCCTATTTTAAGTCAATCAGGTAACTTGTGGCGGAATTCATGGACTAATAGGCAGTAATTGATTTATAAATTTAACTAAAGGAGAAGAAAACATAGCTAAAGAGCAAATGTTAACTTGAATATAAAGTACACTTATCACAAGTATCTCTTCAATCTAAACACCTACAGGATTATCATTATATCGTTACCATAAGTAGGTGAAACAACATTCCTATTTAAAAATATTTGAGACTAAGGGGACTAAATAGAATTAAAACCCTAAATTCTAGAGAAAAAAAAAAAAAAAAAACTATAAATCTTTTACTCATCCAAGCTAAATTTGACCCACTAAGCAAATCAGTGAGAAACCTCCATTGCCAATATCCCTTTGGTCAAACCTAACCAAGTAAAGAAAACTCTTTTGAAGACGAATGGAAATTGCTCTTAACTAAAATAACACCAATTCTCAACAGTTTCCCAGTTCACAAGCATTGCTTATCCAGTATATAAAAGTCACCCTTCTACACAAAATAGGCAAATCAAAACGCAGTCATTTGAATCCCTATTTCAGTTTAATTAAATCATAAACAAAAGACCAAAGCAGAAAAAACTACAAACAAGCCCAAACAAACATTCCAATAACTTGAAGCTAAAAGATCCACCAAACCAAAAAGCTATAGCTATTCAAATTGGCGCAAATTCGACCTTCTAACACTAACTAGGCAAAGCAAAAGAGAAATTTGTGAAAAACACACTCCCCAACAATTCAAAACATTCAGGTCAATCTCCTTTATGGTTCAAATTAATAAATAAAAAAACTCAATTCCAATGCTAAATTAACCTCTAAATTAGGGGGAAAATAATACTAAAAAGCCAAACCAAAGAAACTTAAAACTTAAACTCAAAATCTGAGAGATAAACAAAGTCACCCACCTCTTTGAGTAATGACCCTTCTACGATTCGCTCCATCGGCAATGGCCGATTATAACCCGCCTCTTTATTCATATACTGCCTCGGCTGGCTTCGTCACAGCCCAACTCCACTCACATCGCCCCCGCACCGGCTTCCCTTTAGTCGAATCGAACCAACTGGAATCCCTAACTTCTCTTCATCCATCTCCATTCATCAAACATCATTCATCCCATCACCCCATTATTACCATTGTTATTATTTTCATCGTCTTTCAGCTGTGCGCTTTCGCAATTTCGTCACGAAGTCCGACACCCCTTCTGCTGGTCCTTATCGTCCGGTGCCGCTTCCGCAGCGGTTCCGGAGAGGGCGTGCGGTGGCGGTGAGACCGGTCGGGGGATCGCTTGTGGTGAGGCGTCCGATCGGGAGTTCGTGAACGCGACCGCTTGCTCGGATTCTCTCTCTATCCTTGCTCTGTCTCTGTCTCGCTCACGGTCGCGTTCACGGTCACGGTCTTCTTTATCTCGCGGCGTTCTCTATCTTTCTGCTCGGTCGCGGCGCGCGC